ACTGCAGTTCAGCTGGCCGGCAAAGAGTGCAGGGGGAGACACTGATCCTGGTGGCCAAAGTTTTTGTTACCTGACAAAACAAATCTGGGATAATGGCTGCGATGCTGCCACAGACCTTCCATATTACCTTGAGAGTGAAAAGTGTGGAAGGTTTCTCTGCAAAGACAGCCAACTGCAGGAAGGAAAAATCATTCCCTACTAGCATTTGGATACCAGTCACTGCAGCGTTTCACAGTATGGGTATATAGACATATCAGCAAGTGAAGCTGATGATGAACAGACTAGAAAGTGGTTTTCATTCCTTTAGAGACACTCAAAAAAAGAAAGACCCTCTCCCTGGATTTTAAGCATGATTCTCTGAAAAATTATTCTCTTAACATCCAAGCATTTATTAGTAGCTCTCTCTTCATTATTTGTAGCATGTCAGCCAAAAAATGTTTGGATCTCACTCCCAAAGTGAGGATCCTAAATTCTGATTTAGGTACCGAAAATAAAGTAACAGGTTTTCAGAAATATATTCGCTACACATCTCAGTGACATCATTGGAAGCTACAGCTGCTTGACATTTCTGAATTTTAGGCCACTTTTTATTTAGGTTTATAAACGTGGATTAAGAAGGCTTAACTTCAGTCAGCCAAGTTTGAAAATCTGCCCAGGTCATTTTGGCTGCTACTTTCTCTTCGGATACTAAACTGCTACAGGCACATTTCTGAATAGGACTAATTGTAGTTAGTTCTCCAGCCCATGCTATGGGCACATTTCTGAATAGACCTAATTGTGCTCATTTTAAGGCTACAACTGACTTCAGGATAAATCTTGTGGGTAATCAGGCATATGCACTAGCGGATATTGCTGTCATGGTTTACAGGCATGTGGCCCCAGAGTGTGAGGAAATTTAGGAACATCAAACTGCTAAGAGATGGCTGCAATGCTTGTTAAAACATCTGTGCAGTTTAGGAACTGAACTCCCATCCTCTTCAATGGGAGTTAAGTGCAAATAAAGAAATCACTTTTGTCCCAGATCCTGAAAGATATTTAGATGCCCATTTCTTCTTGAAGAAGACCTTTTTACCAATCCAGGGCCTAACGCCCACTGAAACCGAGAGCAGTAGGCGCCTAACCTACTCAGGTGCTTTTGAAAAAACCCAACACCTTTCTAAAGTCTCTTGAAAACAGGACCTACGTTACCTGTACTCCATTTTACATATGACAGGGCAAAGAATGAAGTATTTGCTTTGAATTTGGCTCAGGGTCCAACACTGCTTCTAGGGAGGCACAACATCCCCTATATAGGGGTTAAAAAGGCGGCAGCTGACTTGGCGTCATATGTTACTTGGCTATGCAAGTCTGTTATCACAGTAATCCTCCGGCATGTAACAGCGCAGGCTGCCTGTGATTTTACAGATGGACACAGGGCTTGCTGTCTTTTGAACCTGGCACTTCCAAGGAGTGCAGACCTTCCTGACTCCAGAACCACGCTTGCCTGGCCCTTTTCTTTTCTAACACAGGTTTGTGGGGTTTTTGTTTTTTTTTTTCCTTAAGTTTGCATTTTGAGGGAAATTTGAAAAGACTGAATGGATATTACATTTCTTGACACGGTTCTCTATCCTGAGGAGTGCTGACAAAATATATTTGCAAGGTCAATGCTTGCCTTCAACTGAGGCCAACTCACTACTTGGCTCAAAAGTATGTATGTGGGGAGAAGGAGGAAGGATGTTTGGTTGTGTCTTTTTGTTTTTAACTCTGGTATCAGTGCTATTAGTTTTGCTGTTGCTAGGGGAACTCACAAGTAGTTATAAAACAAAAAACAGCCTAGAGTCATACTGTGTCAATTAATGTAGCCAGACATATTTCCTCAAATAAGAACCATATGTTAGAGATAACATCTTTGTTTGTTGCTTGTGGTTTCCTTGATGGCAAACTACTGTACTATAATCCTTTATTGTCCAACTAGTTTATAAAATTGTCATAGATGAAAATATGAAATACCAAGAATGCTCATTTGGGGTTCTGGCTTGCCCACAGATCAGAGACCTCCTGAGAGACTCGCCCAGGAGATGACAAGGAAGCTGAAGGAGGCAAAATGAATACTGTCATTTTGGAGAGCATATATTTTATTCTCTTAAAAGGGACACCTGTGATAGCACTAATACTCTTTTCCTTCCAGTTTGCTCTCCATAAGTTATTTGTCAGCCTTATATGTATCGTCAGTTCAGCTGTCTTCTCAGTTCAAGGGTTAAATTTTCAAATATATCTAATTGGACTAGATACTCAAGGGTTTTTTTTCGGCAGGTACTGTGGCATATAAAAGTCTACTGGCTTTAAACATAACTTCAGTTTCTAAGCCCCTAAATCACTTTAAAAATGGGACTTAAGACCAGCTGTTAAAGCCATTTAGGTAGCTGACTCCCATTTAGGCTCCTAAGTCGGGTAGACAGTTTTGAAACAGAAGTTTTACTGCTTTACTGTACATGTATTTGAATCTGTGCAAGCCCTTAAGTAAATTCACTTGATTTAAGATCATTTTGCTATTGATTTCATCTCTTGATTCCTTATCAGTATAAGCTAAATCAATACAGGGCACAGGCCACTCAGCTACATAAGAAAACTGCCCTGCTCAAACTAAATCAACTTTTAGGTTTGACAAAGAGACAAAGAATCTGCTCGGCTTACTTGGATGTTTGCTACGGCAGCTGGGGAGAGAAACTTTTTAATGAAGTGATTTGTAAGACCACAAAAAATGATCAACAGATAGGAGAAGTCTATTTTTCACATGATTATTCTTCACTTTGTATTCCTGTTAGAAGAGAGCAGCAGTATCAGTGTAATAATTCTGATCTGTTAGTCAGTCTCTTACGACATTTGCACACAAGCTGTGCAATAGTTAATGGGTAAATATCGTGTCTTTGATCAATTCTCTCTTACAGTATTTCTGAGCCATTTCATACTCTGCTGCTGGGCAGTAGAATGCACAGGTTTTCATCCTTGCCACTCCGTTATCCAGGAACAAGCCCAGATATCGTGAGCTCTTTGTGTGTAAGCGCAATTTGGCTAAGTAGTACCACCAAGCCATAACACTTTGTCATCTAAGTGAACAATTTTGTCCTGGGGGAAAAAAAAGCTCAAATTGCAACGATATACCCTTTTTTCCTACCAAATTAAAAAAAAAAAAAAAAAAGTTACACTTGAAGCCAGGCACATCTGAAATGGTGCGATCTGCGGTGCAGACGGAGCCCTCAAAGGAAAGCAGGCTGCGTATGGTTAGGACGGGTATGAATTTTGCCTTCTAATTAGCTGACAAGTTCAGACCTTTTTCCTTGCTCACCAGTTATCCACGGTCTTGCAGGTGTATCTTTGCTTTCGCGAGTGCTCACAAAGAGCTTATATACAATTTTTTTCAACATCAAGGTAAAACGAGCTGCTCTTTGTGTTCTGCCCTCCCTCGCCAAGCTCTGTTGCCATCAGCTCACACCTTCCAGGACCCACAATCTAATCTGTGACAAGGGCAACGTGAGGAGGACAGCACTGCGCACACTGTTCCCTGCCCTAGGAGATGTGACTTATCTCTCCTCATGCCACGTACCGATGCGAGAAGTGCTGTGTTTACAGGCGCAGGAGACGTACACGCTCTTCTGCCCCCAGCCCTCCTGCAGCACAACGGCTCGGCCCTGGCGGGCTCCCACGCGCCGTGGATAAGCTGCGGGGAAACGGGGCAGCAGAGCTTTCCACCAGCTGCACGCAGAGCGTGGGCTCAGGTCTGAGAAGGCTCAGCGGAGGCCTGGGAACAACTTCTAGCATGGCCATGGACTTGTTAAAAACACCTAATTGGCTTATGCGGCAAGGGGCAAATTGATTCACATGGCATGTAATATGCATCCGGTCTTCTCATGCCGGATCTGCAAGGTGTCAAGCACTCCTCTTCAGCTCCCGGTGCCATCGGTGGGATCCGGAGCGCTTGGCAGCTTGGCAGAGTAACGCCCAGGGCAGGGCCTGATGATGATTCATTTGCAGCCACACCATTTATGCAGAATGGTCTGCTCTCTCTCATGCCTATGGAGCCACTGGGATTCCAACGCTGGTTTCAGAGCGTGATGTGTGGCAGCAAGGTGCCAGGCTTGCAGAACAAAATTTCACTTAGGGTCAATGGAAGAGCTGTGCATACAAAGCCTTCAAACTGAAGTCAAGCTGTTGGAAGACTTGAGTCTCATGGATATCTCATCGATATCCATGGTGCTCAGCAGCCCTGCGGTGGAGCCACTGGTGATCTAAACACTGTGAAGTGACTTGTCTTGGCTTTAAAAGTCTCTGTTTTCCTCAGATATTTGGTACTAATACATTAATCAGATTTCACACAAAGTTTCTCATTATAATGCTCCCTCCTTATGTATGCAGTAATTAATTCTGACTGCAGTGACTTCAGTCAGCCTTAGGGATCACAGTGTATGTGCCTGCGCTTGTTATTTGATTTTTAAGGATGCCTGAATTAAACAGCAATGTTTGCTTTGTGATTCCAAATTGAAACTTGATGACAAATTGATTATTCTTGAAATAGAATGAGTGGGGCAAGTGTAGCCCACCGCGGCGAGCGGCGGTCTGCCTAGCGACGTCCCCGGCCTCTGTGTTAAGCCTGTGCGACAAAAGAGCTGATACGCTCGTGCTAGCGGCTATTCCGGTGGTATTTGCCTTGGGAGGTGGCACAGTCAAATCTAGCTCCAGCGGTGGCCCTGCTGCGCACAAGCCAGGCCAGCAGTCCCTTGTGCCGCTGCTGCCCCGATTGCTCGGAGGCGGCATTAAATCAGGCAGTAACACCGCATCCCGTTCCGGCGCTGGCAGCCGGCCTGCACCTCCTGCTCGCCCAGGCAGCCTGGCGAAAAGCACGGTGCCGCCAGCCAGGGCGAACAAACATATGGTGCCTGGCCAGCAGGCACTCGCTGCCCGCAGGAGTGAAATGCTGCTTTAGTTTTTCTCAGTTGTGAAGCAATGTCCTATTTTTTTTTCAGATAGTCAACAGCAAAGAAGAATTTGTGCCCTTCTCTCGTGAACGGCGAGTAGGGGCTTTGGACGCAGTGGCCGGGACGTAGAGGAGCCATACTGGGGCCCAAACTAGCTCAGACAAAATATCCACCTAGCCCAGTATGTGCACTAGTCACCAGCAGTAGTTGGTATGGAAAACGTTTCTGAAGTAGGATAAATGTGGAACGACCCTTCTCCAGGTGTATCTTCTCAGAGCTGCAGGCCCTCCTGTTTGGTAAGGTGTGGAGGCCCTTCAGTCCCTGCACTGCCCAGCGCTGCGATGAAGCCACCACTGCCCAGCGCTGCAATGAAGCCACCCTGCGATGAGGCCACCAATGCCCAGCGCGGCAATGAGGCCACCCTGCGATGAAGCCACCACTGCCCGGTGCTGCAGTGAAGCCACTGCTGCCTGGCACTGCGATGAAGCCATCCTGCAATGAAGCCACCACTGCCCAGTGCTGCAGTGAAGCCATCACTGCCTGGTGCTGCAATGAAGCCACCCTATGATGAGGGCACCAATGCCGAGTGCTGCGATGAAGCCACTGCAGCCTGGCACTGAGATGAAGCCACCCTGTGATGAGGCCACCACTGCCCAGCGCTGCGATGAGGCCACCACCACCTGACACTGTGATGAAGCCACCCTGCGATGACGCCACCACTGCCCGGCGCTGCGATGAAGTCGCTTCCTGGGCCAGCGGCTGCCAGAAACACGTCTAGCAGGCACTGGTGAGACTTGCTGCCAGGAGAGGTCCAGCACTCGCAAACCTAGGTGTGTTTTCGTCCTCACAACCTCTGGTGGCAGTAAGGTTCACCATTTAACTGTACCCTCTGTGGCAGGAAAAAAAAATCTTTCCGTTTATTGTAAATCTGTTACCTGGGGTGACTGCATCTGCTGAAGTTACCTGACTGCTGCGTGCTTCGTTTGCTGCTCCCCCAGCTCTTGCGTTACAAGCAGCGGGGGAAGCCCCGCTCGCCGCCTTGACACCGGTCCCCACGAGAGAGCCGCACGGTGGCCAATGGTGCCGCCAGGGCTGCCTGATGCCTGAGCTGCTTTAATGGTTTTGGCCAAGCCATCGGCATGGCGAACAGGAGCGCGCAGTGACTGCTACAGCGGTAGACGTCGTCGGTGCAAAGGAGGATTGGGAAGTTGTATCGGGGAACAGGATTGGAGAAATGGTGTGAAATTTAATAGCACGCGGCAAAAAAAACATCTACCAGGAGACTAATAACGAGACGTCTGCTGTTAGCTAGACTTTGTCAACTGGAAAACACGGGACGGTGGTAACTCTGGGTGCACTTTCCGACTGTGGGATAAGTACCAGCCGCAGCATGATGCTGTTGTGAAAAATGAGTGCAGGTCTACAAAGGTCAAGGTATTTCCAGGGGGTAAAGGGAAAATATTTGCGCATTGTACAAGGCTCTCGGGCTTCAGCCTTGCTGTGGGTCGCGGGGAAGGCAAACGGAGAAGGAGGACGGGAAAGGAGGGCTGTCATGCTCAGAGATTTCCTTGGTGGCACGGCCAAAGCCCCGAGACCTCCCGACAGCTGAGACGGGCACCTCACCGCTGCAACCAGGGCCCATTGCCCATGGCCGGGGCGGGGGGGGCAAACGCGACTTGGGGCAGGGCCAAAGACGGACTACTTAGCAAACCGGAGCTCAGCTCATGACCTAGAGGAGACGCGACTGCAAAAAGCTCTCTTTTAGCTGAAGGACAGTGTCAGCACAAGCGCAGGCAGGTCTGGCTGGGCTATAGCTGTGTTTGGGCCGGACGCTGGCCGGAGATTTCTGGCCATCAGCGAAGCGAGGGTGTGAAACAGTCACCTAACGAGAGCGGGGGCCGCCTGGGTGGGCAGCGTGCAACCGCGCAGCCTGGGAGAAGCCTGGTGAGACGCGGGGCAGCACGTGGGGACGCAGCAAAGCACGCTCGGGGCAGGCTCCTGCCAGGGGAAGCCAGTGTAAGAGCAAAAGAGAACAGCTTTCCATAGGGTTTAGATTATTTGGGGGAGTTTTGTTTTCTACACATCGCTCCCATCTCCCTGTTGGCGGTGGGCTTTACGGCAGGGGGGGGGGGGGGGGGCGCCTGCTGCCAGCTGGGCCCCTCGGCGGACAGAGTGGGCGCTAAGAGCAGCGCCCGGGTGCAAACCCAGCTTTGTGCCCCCCCCCGAGCGGCTGTTTCAGGCCAGGTTTGCTGCAGCGCGAGTGTGAGGGCTAAACCTCAGCCCGGCTGGAAAGCAGCGGTTAATCCTCCCAGCGCGTACGAGTTACCCGAGCGCCTTTGCCTGGGTGGGTTTGACGAGCCCTTGCACTGGTGCGCGCGGTGCGGGAGCATCAGCGCTCACTTGTGTACACTTCTGGTTACATGGTTTATTAAATGAAACCCTGAAGCCAATTAAGAGCATTCCTAAGAAAGCCCTGCTTTCTCTCACCGGCGACAGGCATGAGAGGCTTCGGGGAGTACCCGCGTCTTCCCGGCCGTAAATCTGCGCTTATCGCGCCGAGGGCCGAGCGCAGCCTCTGGAACGCAGCTTTCTGCAGGCTCGCGTGCGTTAACGCTCCCGGCCCGGCAGGGCGCTCTTCGGGCCGAAAGAGCTATGTAAGCCCTGGCTGCTACGGGCAGTTGACCTTCCCGGAAGGTTTTGATAGGTGCTTTCACTGCAAATTGGAAAGCAACCGCAGACCACAGTCCCAGGGACTGCTGGCTGTGAAGCGACCCGGGAGCAGGCGTCTCTGCTCCAGGAGCACGAACCCTCGTGCCATGTGCTCTTCCCAGGGGAGCTCACTAGGTCTTTCCGAGGACCCCAAAGCAAAGCGACACGGCCCCTCGCCTGCCGTTCTGCCCTG